TGTTGTCCTCAGAGCTGCCACTGGCACTGTCACTGCCGCTGCCGGGGCGGGTTTCGACAGTGTCGATGATGACGTCGGGGGTACGGGAACGGGCACGGCGGTGACGGTAGAGGGGATGGTGTGGTAAGGCCGCGTCGACACAGGACGGAAGTGTTGCGTGATGGGCGGCTGGCCTGTAGGAGGACTGGGTCGGACGAGGCTCCCCGTCCGGTGGAGCTGGGTCTGCGGCACTTGGTATGTGATTTTAGGCGCGACAAGTGTCACCGGCCTGACATTTTCCTTGGCCTCCTTGGCCGCCATCATGGGAGCGTCAGCTGCGTTTTCGCGTTTTTGTCGGGCTGCGCGGGATTCGGAGTGCACAGAGCTCGAGGGCTGCTGGCTTGATGGTTGCACTGGTGGTAGTTGGTGCTGTGCTGGAGGATAGCTGGTTGAAGAAGACGGGTGCTTCGGTATGGGTATCGGGGTCTCGGAGATCTTGGTGGGAAGGTGTGGTCTCGAAGTCGAGGTGCGACGTCCGCCCGGTAGCTTCTCTTCGGCGACAGCGGCGGGGCCCAGAGACTGCGATTGGGGTTGAAAGGTGGTGGCTGAGGTCGGGATTGGAGGGGGCAGAATCGGAGTTTGACGCGTTGCGCGACGCGTCGTTGACTCGGCCGGTGCCGCTGCAACTGCGGCGGGAGCGGTGGGGGGCGGTAGTGGTTCGGGTTCGTCGTGGGGTCGCTTGCGCTTCACCGGCGCCATCCTCGGAGCATGCGTCGTGGTATGCTAAATTTAAATAATAATAAAAAAACCCCCCCCCCGAGTAAATGGCGGAAGGCTTCCGCAGATAGGTGTGTGACAGGACTCGCAGACGAGGGCCCGGCGTGCGCGACGAATCAATTAAACTTTGGGGATTATCACGGGCTGGAGCGAACCTTGCAGGGGTGAAGGAAGGTCGAGATCCAGTGGGTATGGATTAGGGAGAGAGGTATGGGGGAGGGTTCCACGAGTGCGAAAAGAGAGGGGCCTGAACAATCTTCGAATCTTGAGTCTGGATCGTGTCTTGTCTCACAGCGAGAATATGCGGAGGGGGTCGAGTCACAAACGCATGGCGTTGCGATGGGAATGTCCAGGGCGTAATTGGGGTGTCCACCGACGATCTGTTGACTGTTGATCGATCGAAATGTGTTTGGGGGTGCATCCGAAGCAATGACGTTAAAAGCTTATATAATACAATTATTCGCTAGTACAACTACGTGTGCGACTACTACTCCCTCTAAGTCTGAACTCCCGATAAGCCATTGTCCCTGCTTCTAAACAGAACCCTCGCTATGTGCATGCACGCATAGCCGAAATAACTGTTGGGCAATTTTCCGAGAATACGGATGGTGAAAAAGAAATGCACGCAGAGGCAAAAAAGATTATTCATATTTCTCGAATATAGGAAAATGAAAGGTCCATCCAGGATTCGAACCTGGGCCTACGGAAGAAACTGATCACTATCAGAATCCGACGTCCTAACCAACTAGACTAATAGACCTGAGACATTATTTGTTGAGAGAAGCCAGCGATCCAGAATCCATAATCCTCAACAGCGGGTCTAGTCTTTCGCGGCCGATGCTACCCTCCCCACCCTGCTGATACTCATTAAGATGTCCTCTCTCCTCAATTTACCTCAGTCAAAACGTCTGTGTGTTTACGTACACTGCAAAACGGACCTTTGGCGTTCATGACCCGGGCGAGGGTGTCATCGTTCTCGTCCCAATCTTTGGCCAGGGCCTGCAGCTTGCGTCGGGCGAGACCGGCATCGCGATTGCGATACACTGAATCGATTTTGCGCACGTCAGTTTTGTCATTGACGATCCATCGTTTCTCCTCCTGAAGGAACTTGGCATAAGTCATGTCGTCGCCATATGTGGCTTTAACGTTCCGTTCAAGGTGCCTGTTGATGGCCTTCTCGAGGGCCTTTTCGTCTTTGGTCGGCGCCGACAGCGAATGCAAATCTGGCATTGTATGATCGGCCGACGGGTTAAATGATGGCATCCTGACTTTCGCTTTGGGAAGGATCGAGACCGCCAAGTAAAACAACAGGGAGCTTTCCAAGACAGCGGCGTCGATCTTGCGAAGCTCTGTCGGTGAGATGGGGCAATAGCCCAGGTTCAGGTACTGGAGTGTTTGGTTTGTTGACAAAAGCTCACAAATTGACGGCACAGCATCTTTATCGATATAGTTCCACGCCTGGCCAAGGTCGACGGTCGCATACGCTTGGCCAACATCCAAGAAGCGCACACCGGGATGCGTCGTGATAGCCCGGAAGACGTCGCTGGCACCAGCAGCTGTTAGACCAGTGGATTGCAGTGACAGCCGTGATAACTGGTGGGCTTTGCGGATACCGGAAACAAGCGCTTTCGTGCCTTCGTCGCCCAAGGGGTTGCATGACAGATAGAGCGAGGTAATACCACAGGCGGGCGAGCCCAGGAACTCGGCGATCGCAACTGCAGCCTTGGTCGATATGCCGTTACCGTTCAAGTAAATGTTGCGCAGCGGCAGTTGCTTACGGCCGGGGATAGCAACAGAGAACGCAGCCAGACGTCGGAACAACTCCGCGGTGCCAGAATCACCGAGTTCGGTCTGATCGAGATCCAGTGTGCGTAGGTTCTTTGTCTCGGTAATGAGACGGTAGACATCTGCCGCAGCCGCGGGACCTAAGGGGTTTCGTTTTAGCCATATGTTCGTCACTGCCTCGGACTCGACCAGGGCGTCGACCAATGTCTTGAAACTGGGGGCGTCGATGCAGTTGCCTGCCAGATACCAGGTGTTCATACGGCCGGGGAGCTCCCGGACGAACCGGCCGATCTCCCGAGCCCCAACCGGGCCAATAATGTTGTTGCCTAGAAGGAAGTGTCGGACGAAGGGGTTCGGCCGTAAACTGTCCATCAGGTTGCCAATGTGGTCTGGACCAACAGCCATTTTGCACAGATCCATGCGACCGTCCTCGTAGACGACACCTTTGCGGAACTCGGCGCCTTTGACACCGTAGTAGGGTTCGCCCTTGCCGCCCTCGAGAGCAGCACCGGCGGAGCCTTCGTCGAGCGCGTGGGTGCCCCGCTGCTTGAGGTGGTCGAAGAACGGGGCAAGGTCGGCGGCGACGGCGACGGCAACAGGCATCGGGATGGCTTTCGCGCTAGTTAGGGCAACGGGCGCCTTGGCGGGGTCCCACGGGCCCTGGGCAAGGATCCGGGAGGCCCAGACAGGCGCATGCACACCGGATGCAGTACCGCCAGTCAAACCGCGGAAGCTATGGCCGTTCCGGTTGGTGGCGGCAAAGATGTCGTATTTCCGCTGCAAGGCGACCCATGCACGCAGTCTCACCCGCGCGGCTTCGTACCGAATTACCGGTGACACAGCATCATCATAAGTGGCGGGATATAACAGCGATGCAATGGCCCCAGCTAGATGAGATCGCCTGGATTTTCGTCGAGGGAGACCGTGCAACTCGTCTGACAGGCGGATGGTGTCAATTGGCAGAGCGAGTATCTCGTCGGGAGTGTAAGCTTTCGAGTGGTCAAAGTCAGGCATCTGGGCATCGAGAAGGTTGAAGGCCTGCCGGAAGAGGGCCGCCAGACGGATTGCCTCGTCCACGTTGACTCGGGTAGCGTCGTTGCTGTCAGTCTGGTTGGTGTCGATGCTTGGTGCTTGTGCCGCGCCATTTGACAGGGGTTCAAAGCCACCAAGTATTGATGGTGTTGATGTGAGTAAGAGTGTAGCGGCGGAGGCCATTGCGACGACTCTGGTTGATACGATGAATATGATGATTTGTTATTGGTTGAAGTATTGTTTGGCGAATTTGCAGTTTTCGATTGACCCCGAAACCCACGACAGACAGTAGATCGGGAGCTTATATGCTGGTTACTTGTCGCTGAGGATGGGCATGACTGCAACTTGTAACGGCGATGAGTCAATGTGGTTGGATTACCCCTCAACTCGCTTCCTCGTATGGTTATTGCCGAGTTGACGTTATCCTGGGCTGTTGGTCGAGGCTTGGCTGGACTGAAAGGGCGAGTCAAGATTGTGATTGGGTTGTCGTTCAAGGATTTGACCTCGCAATTGACCTGTTGGTCCATGTCGTCCATGTCATCCATGCCGTTGGAAGGGCGCGCTTATTGACAAGACCTTGACATGACTATGACTGACCACGACGACCCATACATCAGATGATGGAACATAGAACATGGAACAAAACAATCAATCCTGCCATACGAAGACGAAAGAACAGCAGCACCACCGCCGCCGCCAACGACGACAAGTCCCTTTCAACCGTGTGGATGACAGGTTGCACTGCACTTTGTGGTGGCTGGTATGAATGTTGTGTTCCCCATCTACCTAGGTGGGATGAGTACGTACTGGTCTCATACATGCATTTAGATACGTACTGTTCAACCACGCTGGATGTGGCTGGGCGCCCTTGCAGCAGCCACAATTGTGAACCAAACCATCCATTGATAGGTACCTACCTACCCGCCAGCCTGCATACCGGTACCTATCCTTGTAAGTAGTATAGCACAGTAGATAGTCAGTAGTCAAGTCACGAATTGCTTCACTTCTCCCACAGTCACGACCCTCCCCTCGCGACTTGCCCCTCCCAACTCATGCCCGCAGTGCCTTGCAGTGCGGCAAGCGACATCCGCTCACAAACCAATCGCTTCAACGCCTCGGACTTTTCCAGGTGCGGCTCAAACGTCAAACGGCCCCAATCCCCCCGTCCGCCGGTCCTCCACCCCTCGTCTCTAGTGTTGCATCGCATGACGCTGTTACGCAACTTCCTTCGTGGTGAAGCCCTGTCTCATCGCCATTTGATTCTGTCTGAGTCTGCCACGGGCTGAGCGTGACACCCAGGAATCCACCGCAATCAGTTTTGTGTCTAACAGGGACTGGCCACGTCAAAGGACACTCGTCACTTCCTCCGCAAGTCGTCCGCCAACCACGACCGCCCTATAGCTTGTCTTATCATTTAACGGACCAAGCGTTCCCTGCAGGACATTAATTGATCACGGGCTAATTCGCCGTCTGCAACTGTCTCGTCCTGGCTCTTGGGGTCTCATACGGCCGAGCTTAGACGGAACGCGTTGCTTTTTTCAACTTGCTTCTTCTGCGACACTCGCGCCATGTCACAAATTCCCCATACAGCGGTGAGCAATGAAGAAAAGCCCGAAGCACGCCACGGGGTTGCTTACAGACGCCATCCTTCCGATACGCATTCCAGCCTTTTCTTCGCGCGGCTTGGGCGAGAATTCCAATAACGAATTATTCTGACAACAAAAAAAAAACACCCGCCTGCCACCGCGGCGTCCGTTCGCGTCCTGTTGTTGTTGTTGTTGTTGTTGTTGTTGTTGCTGCTGCTGCTGCTGCTGCTGCTGCTGGCCCCTCCACATTGGCTGCACTTGGCCTGTTTCGTTTGCGCCATGCAGTCGGGGGGAAAGGTGATATATCGTGCGGCAAAGCTGCGTACAGCCCGCTTCTCATGCGGGTTGCCGACCAGTCACTGGCCCCTCGGAGCAGTCTTTGCTTTTGGCCGGCTTACTTCCCTCCCTCGGGCAGCGACGCATGCAAGCAATCCGTAATGCCACAGTTCTCGGCCGGTTGTCACGCGGCTATGAATCGGCAAGCCGCATGCGAGATGCTTCCCGGGCCCACCGATTGGAGCTCACCTTTCTTTTCCGCATAAGCAGGTGGATGATCTCTTGGGGAGGCATGCAAGGAGGGGCATGGGATGTCGAGGCTGTGGGGGGACACTGACGCACACTAGCAAACATGATGGTGTCGTGTCTCCCAAATGCCTGGTCAGGTGGGGGGAGGCCTTGAATCTCTGCCAATGCCATCGACGAGGATAGCCCTACCAACGTCCCCCAATGTTGGTGCGTTGGATGCGATGATGGAGAAGGAAATATACTGCCCAGGTATGTTGGCCAAGAGAGATTGGCTGTCGTGGAGGTCCAAGACACCCTATCTCGGTGTGTGTCGAGCTGGCTGACCGCCCCCTTTCCCCTCACCCCCTCACCCCCTCACCCCTCCCCCCTTCTTGGCCGGTTGTCTGGCTGGATCGCATCAAGAAGAAGTCTTAGGTATATATGAAAGACCTGCTGGCCAGTGGGCGGCCAGAGTTCACTCTTTTCTTACGGTTGAGCTGCGTTCCGAAAAGCAAATCGCTTCCTCTTTCGTCTGCTTTTCTGTTCACCAGGTCATCCTTTCCCATGTATTCTTCCATCCCACGCAGAAACGTCGAAGGGCCGGTCTCCCACGCCAAGTGGCCGTCGACGGAGTCATTCCGCTCGCCGGCATCGTCTTGGGAAGTAGATGATTCCACCGCCCAGACCGTTAGCAGACTCAACTCGGTCTTTGGTTTCCGACCCCCCACAGGATACGCGAAGTCGTCTCCCGGGGCCTCCCCCGATGACCTGTCGAGATACTCGCCAGACCTGCCTCAACTACTCGCGGATCGGACTCCTGAGCTGAGACACGACACTCCTTCGGATGCAAGGACGCGGACGTCGTCCTTCGGGCCGGAGACACCACCTACCAAGGCCGACTCGTACTTCTCGTCGGAGCCGCTCGTGCAACCCCTGACGCCGGTCCGAACTAGCAATTGTCACTTGCGCTCCCGTTCAGACAGCTGTAGTCTACGGAGCTTTTACTCGGAAGGTCAGTACCGGATTGGTACTGAATCAACAGCAGCCATTGGCCATGACGCCAAGCAGCATCCCTATCCTGACCCGATGTCTCGATCTGGAGACAGCCCTTCCAACAAACAGTCCAGGGAAACGCCCTCACCGCACCAGAACTACGCCGTCGCTCTCACCCGCAACAATCGTGCCGTCACCCTCATATTGACGGCAGGCAATCCAGCCCAGTCAGGACAGCCAAACATCACCTGCTACAGGCAAACCTCTCTCCCACTAGGCGGACCGTTCGCCGAGTTTTTCAAAGCCTCCGAGGCACTAGCTCTGTTACAACACATGGTCAACGCATCGTCGATGTCGTATCAGCCCTTTTCCAAACGAGAGCGGTCCGAACTGCTGCTGCGAATGCGGACGTCCGACGAGGGCATGATCCTCGGTAACCCATGTTCCAACGCCCGCGCTTGGACAAGCTTCTTCTCCACAGAGCTCGCCGCCGGCAGGGCTTGGGAGGCGGGCACGGTCATCTTCCCGTGGAAGGTCCTGGAGAAGCTCATGAGCTCGCTCAACGCTGAGTACGCGCGGAAGAGGAAGATCCAAGCGCGTGCCGTTGTTAGGCGCGAGATGGACGAGCACTCTTTGGCCCGGGGCCCACCCCCATTCCGACACGGCTACGGTCAATCTCCCGACGCGCGGCCTATGTCTCTTCTGCTCGCCTGCGATTCCGGTATATCATCAGCGCCCATGTCGGGAGCCGTCGGGGGCGACCGCTGTTCAGTATCCTCTGCCTCGCCCCCGCCGCCCGGGACGCCGACGGAGGTTCTTCCGCCCAAGCTCCAGCTCGTCTCGGAGCGGGCCAAGTCCCCACCGACGCAGCTCCGACGCCGACGCCAGAATTCGGAGCCGGTTCGACCGCTAAGTCTGGCGCCGCCGCGGATCGCGCTGCTGAAGCCCAAGGCCTGCCGGCAGAGCCTGCGCGGTCTGCACTCCGCGTCAACGCCAGTTCGCCTCGAGTTTTACGACTCGATCCGGCAATGGCCGGCCAGCTCACACCGGGCACAGGTGCGCCTGCCGCCGTGCTCACGGTTTCTGGAGATGGTCGAGAACCAGGAACCCGAGCCGCGCAACTCCATCGTCGTTTGAGGTGGAGTGCTCTCTTCAACAGAACACATCGGGGGGTTCTGCTTATGATTATTTCCTTTGTAGGCTTTTCTTTTTCTCCACCTTTGCATGGGCAACGGTCTGGGTAGGTCAGATGACCTCCCTTTTAGGTAGACGCATTTTGATGCCACAACATCAAGAGACTAGACGGGTCATGTCTGACATGTGCACATTTGGAACGAACAGGTTACGAGAAACGGAATATGTGAACAAAGGAAATGATGGTACAACGACAACGCAGCACAGTTAGATGGCATTAGATACAGGCACGATCACGGCTCAGGAGGCGGAAGTGGTTGCTTGGGCTCGCTGGGCGATCAATTGGGTAGATGGATGAATGATGGGAACGTTCAGAACGACTGTTGAATGTGTTTATGATGATAACGTCTTAGGCGCTCACTACCATGTACAAACTGGCTTGACGTCAGGGCCTGCAAAAGCCGTGTAAATGCTTTTTGAGAATAGACTTACGCGAAGCGCATCATTATCCTGCATCCAGACTGGTGCTCACATAGCGTTGAGTTGATTAAAAGCCGTCCGGGTCTATGGCTCCGGACTCGAATGAGCCGCAGCACAGCTTGAACTGGTGAGCAGAACTGGCCCGAAGGCATAGGTACAGTAGTCTCTGGAGACCCGGGTCAAGGAGCCTCACTTCACGATACCGAGCCTGGGGCTATCGCTGTTAAGAGCCGGGGGGTCCGCTGCGACGTTCGGTCATGCTATTGTCTCTTCTATTATATGTGCTGCAGTCTAGATGAGCTCCAAGCATGTTACCGTTAGGCCTTAATAGCCCTGTTGGCCCCACCATCTGAACCAGTCCGTCGGGCTGCTCCGAGAGTGGGAGACGTGCAGGCGACGCAGGGGTCAGGTTCGTCGCATGTTAGGCTAATTTTGTTCTTCTTCATAAACTCAAAACGCCATTACTCGTGCCCGCGTACGTTGTCGTGTTCAGTCTGTTGATTAGAGTTTGGCTGGTTATATTGCGTCCCCGCCCCCTTTTCGCAGCTTTCAAGATGGGAAACTCGGCCGGCCAATCGACCCGGGAGGCCGTCAGACATAAGTTCTAGTTGGTCCAACTCTTGCGAGGGGGGGTGCTCCGAATATCGTGAAAAGCGTCGAACCAACTTACTCCAGTCACTCGCTACTACCGCACCGTGTTCGACCTTCAAATCACTCCACGGAAATCCAAGATATCCGGAAGACAGCCCATCACCTGAAACGCCACGTATTCTAAAGACCACCGTGACAGAAAAGAAGAAACAATGACCCGCTCGATCTGGACCCTTATTGCTCTCGCCGGCCTCGCCTCCGCCGAGCTGGCGCCGCGCCAAGCCACCGCCGGGGTCGACATCACGACGCTGAACAAAAACGTTTCTGCGACTTCGGGAACGGGGGCGGTCAGCGCGGCGGGGACACTGGGGCCGTTTGGCGCGATCGGGGTCGGGTGCGGGATCAACTGGGCCGAAGGCAAGAGTTACGGAGGTGAGTTTGCCCCCCCCCCTTTTCCCTTTCCCCCTCGGAGTCTGGATTCGACGTCTCAATGGAGGAGGGGGCCAAAAGCGTGTGCCACTCCGGTCACGGCACGGGAGCGATGGGTATGGAAAGAGAGGAGAGGAGAGGAGAGTTTGAGGCGGTGGAAAATGCCAAAGAAGCGGATGGCTGACGTACGATGACCCCGATAGGCGGCTTGCAATCCGGCTCGGATTCCTTCGGCCTCGGTGGCGGGTTCACCATCACCGAGGACACGATGACCATCGGCTTAGGGATCGGCATCAACGGCCCGCAAGGTTTCAATACCTCGTAAGCAAGACCCTCGTCCCGTGACATCCCAACGGCGTGTTCCCGTTCATCTGCGGCAATCAAGGCGGGCATTCCTTTTGCCCCTTTGAGCCCACGGGCCCCATGAACCGACGCGGGAGAACACTCTTTGCCAGGCGGCTGATTTGGCTAACGCGCGTTTCCTGCCAGGGTCAACTACGAGGCTTCGACCAACGGCAGCGCGAGCGTCATCTTCACATCGACAAAGGGGGTCACGTGCCAGGAGACGACGGTCGACGGTCTCAAGGGCTTCCAGTGTACCTCGCTGTAGGGAGCGAGCGACTATATCGAGCTGCCAGGGCATCTCCTCTTGTACTTTGGCGTACGGACATGCCATTTTTCGGGTTTTCCCTTGGGGATTTTTTATCGCTTCAAGCCCAGATCCGCTTTCGTACGAGTAACGGCGATAATGGGGTCATTATTGGGTGAAGGATGTACGAAATGGGCTGGTGAATCAAAGCCTGTAGGTATTGAATCCATGGGTTCCATCGCAGTGGCATGAACTTTGTTTCATTCCAAAAAGATTTCGACGAGGCACTCCTTTTGGCTTCTGACAGCGGCATGCTGGTGGGGACTCCCACGCCGAGCAATGCCTTGGTCGAGAGACCACAAGGTTGAAAACTCTTGTTAAAGTTGCACTACAATACTAAGACCAAATTATACGAATCAAGTTCACAAATACAATCGACAAAGCCGCAGCTGCTGTCTACCTATGTTAACGAGTAGGAACTCTACTCTCGATCAAGCGTTAGGATAATACTACGCCGCTTAGGATTTGAGAGAACCGGAACCGCGCATTCAATTGTACGTCGTGATGGTGTTGCTCATCTTGCTAGCCCGGCCGATGACTGCAAATAGAGTTCACCAAGTTATCGATTTCCATCGGAACCATGGATATGTCGACTCTTAACTCAGATCAGTATCGTAATCCATGGATTGCTAGGGGTCTCTTTTTTTTATGTGGGATTCATGCCTGGCTATCTCCTTTTACAACAATAGTCATTGAAAACCCCTGTTTCTTCTCCGTCCCCTACACTCCTCTGCTCAACCTGTACATACACATTCACACCCGGTAAACCTGCTTCACTATTCATACATACACATACCCAAATACTTGCTTCGTTCTATAATCACAACAAACCTCGGTCAGTCCCCTCACCGCAGTCGTGTTCATCACCGCCCGCCAGCAGCACACCATGGACACTCAGAGCCCCTCAATCTCTATTGCTCGTACGGCAGGCAAAGCAGGCACCGCGAAGAGCGTATCCTGGACCACTCCCACACTGTCCCGCCCCGCGGGTAAGCTCTCTTGCCACAAAACATCAAGTGACGCACAGGCCGAGCCAATCATCGAGTTCCAGCCAACTGTTCCTACTCCGGGTTCGCTCGCACATGGCCGCAGGCAACAAGAGGTCCGCTTTGCAGACCCCGAAATCTGTACATTCGACGACAACGACTATGACCTGATTGACTGCGGTGACGACCTCTTCCCGGAGGACGAGGGCGATGACAGATACGATCAGTACGACTACGAAGGCAAAATGGACTTCTTCCAGGATGAGACCTTGAAAGCGGAGCCCGATGACTTGTTGGACTTCCAGGACGAACTGTCCTGTTCAGTTGTCCCCAGACTCATCCTGACGACTCCCGAGGGCGAGACCATCACCGGCGACGACATCCCCGAGGGGAAAAAGTGCTACTTCTCGAAAGAGTACCGCGCCCTTCAACAGCGGTGGCTTGACAACCTCGCCAACAGCCTCGTCCCGGGCAACTGGAAAAAGATCCGCGATTGGAACCTCCCAGAGGAGACCTATCGTGAGAGACGCCGCGCCGAGGAGAAGAAGCGGAAACGCCAGAGGGAGAAGGAAGAGAGCCAACGACGACGTCAAGAGGCTGACGCGGCGGAGCGCGCGCGGCAGCTACAGAAAATGCAAGTCCAGTACGACAAGCAGGAGGGCCGCTACCGGGACGTGGAGAAGCGGCATCAGGCACAGCAGTCGTGGACGTGGTACCCTGGTGTTGACATTCGGAAGTTAGTTGAGGAGTTGCTTGAGAAGTTGATTGAGAAGATGATTCGGAAGAACGAGGAGGCCGTGAGAAAGTTCCAGCAGGTCACGGACAAGTTGAGTGCGATAGAAGCTCGAGAGCGAGATAGACTGGAATCGTGGGGTCGCGAGCGAGCTTGATATTCGAGAGACTCGACCTTGTTTCGGTCGTGCGGATGCTAGGCGGCGGGTCGCCTGATGGGGTGCTGCGTTGATCTTTTCTTGGATTCTTCCACCATGGTGCTTGCTCTGGGACGATGCTTGAGATACCTTGGTGAGTGTGCAATAATCATTCCAATTGAACGCTTGTTGTTTTCTCCCTGCGTCGTGGTTGTCCTTGATGGCTCGTGATGTCCAAAGCTATTCTGTGCCTCATCTATGGACGTTGACAGTGTGAGCCGTCCACATGCTGTGTGTGATCTCGTCCCGAGCTGCATCCGTACGTGTGTAGGTAGCCGGTATCTTGTGCATCGACTGCATGGGCGTTAAGCCAAACAAGAAGACAGAGAGACGATGACGATGTCGAGACGGGCTCGCAGCATGCACCCCAAAACTCTAAAAGGACGGACGTAAACTAGGTACGTAGTAGTGTGCGGGAGGGAAGTCTAGACTAGGTAATCTCTGGCAAACCCTAGTAGACGGCTCAAGCGAACCAATAATTACCGTTTACCCCAAAGCTTCAGCAGTCATCGGCTAACTAACTACCGGTACCTGCCACGGCTGCGAGGTAGCAGGATGAGGTGATGTGCCTTGTCGGATGTGTACTCTGTAGTCTTGCATCCTTGTCGACCGTGTGTAGCCAGGACAGTTGTTGTTGGCGTTGGGAAGTCCCCACAAGGCAGCGTCTCCATCCATTACTTCATCCCAAGACCTCTCACGCTCAGTTTTACAGTACACCCGGGCTGCATGAAAACGACGTCAGACCTTGGCACGGGTTCCTCAGACCAACTGTCGCATCTCGGTCCGCCGCTGATCGAGGGTCCGGATGGCGCCCGGTGCGGGGCAGGAGTCCATCGTTCGTCGTCCGTCCAAGCAAGCCAGACCACGCCCCCTCCTCCTTGAGTTCGGTGGATTTAGTTTGATGAAGTTGATGCCGCTGTTCCCGGGTGACGAGGGAGGTTTAGTTACGAGATATCCCATGGTACTGTGTTTCTATCTAGAAACCTTCCTCTACTGCGTTGAGTATCGGGCACGATACTTACACTGTGTTTTTTCCGACTGCCTTGGACTGTGTATGTAGTGTACCTGTGCGGCCTTGAGAGGGACCGCCGTGGGTAAGCATCTCAGTCCCCGGGTGACGATGTGCACGTAGTGGACTGGTACGGTACCGCCAGTACACCATGGTGGTGTGAAAACCCTTGGGCGAAAGTACCATCGAGCTCGAGATTAGGTAATCGAGAGAAGAAATAAAAACGGAAAGAGAGAAGCGCGGAAGTTGGCAGTTGAAGCCCCCGGCTTGGAAAAATGTCTCCGCAGCCGTGCCGGCTCAGGGGTCCACAGCTCACTAGCGCCAAAGAAAATAATTACTATCCAAGTACTCCGTAGCGTACACTAACTACCCCCTACACCAACGACCGAACCGCTCTCTTGGCTTGGAGCCACGGCCGACTGACACGATGACCCCGCCAACCTGCCATTTATTTGTTTGCTCCCCCCTTTTTCTCCTTGTCGATTTGGGGATAGCTGGTGTTCACCTGCAGCAGGAAAACACCCCGAGCACATGAGTCCATCACCTTATCCTGCAGCCCTCCCACCCCTCATCGTCCGACTCGGTAGTTCGTTTCGCGCCAGAAAGCAAGCCTCGGTCTGCTCGCCCTCCCTAGGTACTTTGGACGAGACCGTGTGCACCCACACCTGCCCATCCCCCCCCACTCCTTCTCGACGTCGTCTGGCCTGCCTTGGAGCCTCTCGACATCCCCGGATCTTGCATGTATCGTTCTTAGACCCCTCCCCACCAACTACCTAGCGACGTCACCGAGCCAAGGCCCGCAACTGATCAGATTGTCATGAGTACCTAGCAATCAGAGAAGAAAAGTCGCGTGGTGTCCATCTGCAACCATCCCCTTCTCTTAAAGACCGCTCATTTCGCCGCACTCATCAGAAAGAACACGCCACTTTCTTCCCTTCAACGTCTGTCTTGCACCGTTGAATTTAAATTGTCTACCTGCGCCAGGTAGGCTCTTTTGCTTTGAACCCCAAGCCCGAGCTTCCTGATCGTCCTGTCACGTACCTCGTAAACCAGAGATATAAATCATAGTCTTATATATATATATATATATGCACCCACAATCGACAATGGCGCCTGAAGTACTTCAGCATCTCGCCACAGGTGGAGGATCATTCCCGGTAACCAAGATGCAGGATCCCAAAGAGAAGTTTTACCGCCACTTCCAAGACGAGGTTGTTAGTATGTTCACCCAAGACCCGACTGAGTCGTTTGATGGTGTGCTGATCAGCCCCGCACTAGTCCTCCAGGAGCAGATCGACGGCATCGGCTCTATAGCCCAGGTCGGTGGTGAGAGGCAGGATGCCATTGACCACATTCTCGCCGGCATCTCGAACCTTTCCAGCGAGGTCGCCGATGCCTCCGACTTTGTTCCGTCGTACGACCAGCGCAACTACGCTCAGGTGAGCCGGTCCACTCATCAGGAGACTACTCGTATTTTGACACCACTCGACAGGCTGTCAAGGCCCTCACAGATAAGCTGAATGAGACCACAACGAAACTCGCACCCCGCTCACGCTTCCAGTTCAAGCCGCGCGGCGCGAACACTGCCACTAGCGACCTAACCGCCCCCAAAAACGACCCGCGCCTGCTCGTGGGAAGCTCTCTCGCGGACCCCTTGCCCGCCTCCCGCGGTGGGCCCGTCATCGCCGCCGCTGCCACCACCTCCCCGGGCGTGCAGGCCGAGAGAGATGGCCTTGGCGAGCTGCCGTCCTTCCCCAAGAACTACAACGAAGAGATGGCGCGGCCGAGCACCACCAAGGTGCGCAAGCCCAGCTTCTCCACCGCTAAGGACATTGCCATCTTCGGCCAGGAGGGCCTGCACATCGTCCTTCCGTCGTCGGCGTCGCGGGCTACGTCGTCCGGGCGACTGATGGACCTGAAGGGGTGCGTCGTCGACATGTCCCTGACGCTGTCTGGTACCACCTCGTTCGCGAACCTGGCGCTCAAGAACATTGACAAGAGTCTGATCGTCGCCGGCAACGTCACTGGACCGACGCATATTACCGGCGTTTCGAACAGCGTCATCGTCGTGTCCGCACGGCAGGTGCGTATTCACGAGTGCAACAACGTCGATATCTACCTGCACTGCTCGAGCCATCCCATCATCGAGGACTGCTCCAACATGCGCTTCGCGCCGCTGCCGGCCAGTTTTGTAAGTACACTGACTGTGTGAAGAAACACCATCTCACGGGGACTCATCATTTGTGCAGCATACCCCCGAAGACCCTGTCAAGAACCAGTGGGATCAAGTTGATGATTTCAAGTGGCTCAAGTCGGAGCCTAGCCCGAACTGGAGTATCCTGCCCGAGGAGCAGAGGCTGGCCGACGAGATCTGGACAAAGGTTGTACCAGGCGAGCGCGGGAAGGATCTGCACGACATCCTCGACGCTGTGGGTGTCTCGAAGCAGTGAGCCAGTCCAGTCACAGTCCCGGTGCCGTTGTCGGCTGTCTCCTTCGTTCAAGGTTCTAGTACGGAGTTTGGAAGGCGGCTCTTGTGAATTCGTGTATAATCAGGCATAGAAGTTGGAGAGGGGGCAGCGTCTCTCTTCCTTTGAAGTGAACATCATCGCAGTCGCATTTCGGGTATCATAAGAGTCATTCGGCAAACAAAAAAAAACACGTCATCCCCTGATCACAGTTTCGTGAAGACCCATCCATCCATCACTCCGTCTCCATCTTATCGCCCGTTCCGCCCTCCTCGTGACCAAACTTGACACCCGCGTCCCTCAACCGGTCCAGCACCTCGCGCTGCATCTTGATACGCTCCTCGAGCTGCTTGATCTCTTCCTCCTGCTCGTCGATGGAGCGATCCATGTCCGGGAGCTGGCGCATCTGCGTGCGGGCCCGCTGGAGCTTGTGCTTCAGCGCGTCGGTCTGGGCGGGCACATCCTTGAGGGACAGCGGGGCGTTGGGGCTAGCGCCGAGGGGATTCGGGGTCGCGCCAGGGCCGGTGCCGGCGGGCGTGGCGCCGGTGATGCCGCCGACGGAGCCGGAGTTCTGGACAGCGGTGCGCAAGCGAGTGAGGATGCCTGTCAGCTCGGTGAGGGTGTCGAGGGCGTCGGGGGAGAGGGTGGAAGGGAGCTCGAGGGGGTGAGGCGGCATTTTGTTGAGGGGGGAAGAGCCGTGTGTGTTTCAAGATGAAAATAGATCGAGGGAGGAAAGCTTGGCTTCGTGATTCTTCTCCTCGATGGGAGGCGGACGGAGCGGGGAGGTTGGAACTCGCAGAGGCTTCTTTCTCGGCCGAGGCTAAGTAGCTAGGTGTTGTGCGCGCGTTGGATGCTGACTCGAGGCGTCAAGGGTTTATCAATGGCAGCTTTGCAAAAATGTTCAAGTCGTTGTTCAGCCTCACAGTACGTGCGCAGAGTCGTCGCTGTCGTGGGTTGAGCGGACGAGGCGTCAAAGTCAATTGGCGTGAGTTTCGGCGTGTGGTACGGTTGTCAAACGGTTAAAAGCAGGGGGGGGAAGCTCCGCCGAGACATTTTGCGTGTTCGGCAGCTTCACGGGCGTTTTAGCGCGACAGCGATTGGCAGCTAAAAATTGTTGAAAGTCAACAGAGGGGCATCTCATGGAGCCCACACCGTTTGGTGATATAATTACACTGTGCAACACGCCACGTTAGGCACATATAGACAGTGCTATTTCGGCATGGTACCATACGGTTCTATTATCGGCAATCATGACATAACCCATGAACCCCCACCATAAACTAACACCGATAAAACAACTCAAGCCGGGAGCCCAGGTACATTGGCTGATTCACTTAAAACTCCTCAACCGGCAGAGACCTTCACCACCCGCCTCTAAAAACCCGGAAAATCACGCATATCCTGAACTAGAACCGTCCTCTTCTTCTTTCCACTCCCCCCACCTTTCTGTAAAGAAATAGCACCAGATATACCTATTCCACCATGGCCCAGACCGAGCAGAAGGCCTGCCTGAGTACGTCCAAAGATCTCCCTCCAGACCCTCCGTACCCCTCGTCGAAGCCCCGCGGTGATGGTGTTGGTGTTGGTGGTGTCAGTGCCGAAGCCAGCCAGCAAGACCAAGAAGCTCCCGCAGGAGTCGCAGCTCCTCTACCTCAGCAAAAGAAGCCCAAATCCAAACCAGACTACATTCTCACCCTTGCCTACATCATCCTCTATCTCCAAGTCGGCTGGCTAATCTTGTGGATCTTGCGCTCCTACAGTCGTGATTGATGGCTGGGGTGTTCCCGGAGCCGACTCCCCCAAAGATGGCGACGCCATCACCAACGCGGAGACGCCCGTCATGGACGCCTTCGCCCAGAGCAAGACCGGATACTGCGAGCTCGAGGCCTCGTCCCTTGCCGTTGGCCTGCCCGAGGGTCTGATGGGCAACTCTGAGGTCGGCCACTTGAACATTGGCGCCGGCCGCGTTGTCTGGCAAGACGTCGTCCGCATCGACCAGACAATCAAGGAGGGCAAATTCGCCGAGAACGATGTGATCAAGAAGACTTTTGAGGGCGCCAGAGACGGCAACGGCAGACTGCACCTCTGCGGTCTCGTCTCCCACGGTGGCGTGGTGAGTCTTGCACAACCCCCGGGCGAAAACCACCCCAACGATATCAGAATCTGACATTCTATCTCGCAGCACGCCAAGCAGGTCCACCTCTACAACCTTCTCAAGGCGGCCAAGCAGTACGGCGTCCCCAAGGTCTACATCCACTTCTTCGGCGATGGTCGCGACGTGGACCCCAAGTCAGGCGCCGACTACATGGAGGAGCTCGTTAAAACCGCCGGCGAGATCGGCACCGGTGAGATTGCGACTGTAGTCGGCCGTTACTACGCCATGGACCGTGACAAGAGATGGGAGAGGATCCAGATTGCTCTCGACGGTATGATCAACGGCAAGGGCGAGGAGAGCTCCGACCCCGTCAAGACCGTCCGGGAGCGCTACGCCCGCGGCGGCGACAAGGACAAGGACGAGTTCCTCAGCCCCATCATCGTCGGTGGTGACGAGCGCCGCATCAAGGGTACGTCTCGCTCTTCTGAATCCTTGGATCGTTTCTGACAGTGACTTAGATGACGACACCGTCTTCTTCTTCAACTACCGCTCCGACCGTGTTCGCCAGATCACTCAGCTCCTCGGCGACGTCGACCGCTCAGTTCTTCCCGACTTCAACTACCCCAAGATCAGAACCCTGGTCACCATGACCCAGTACAAGGTTGACTACCCCTTCGAGGTCGCCTTCAAGCCCCAGCACATGGGTAACGTCCTCGCCGAGTGGCTCGGCAAGCAGGGCGTCGAGCAGGTCCACATCGCCGAGACGGAGAAGTACGCGCACGTCACCTTCTTCTTCAACGGCGGTGTTGAGAAGGTCTTCGCTCTCGAGACCCGTGACGAGAGCCAGGACCTTGTCCCCTCCAACAAGACCGTCGCCACCTACGACAAGGCCCCCGAGATGTCGGCCGACGGCGTTGCCAACCAGGTCGCCAAGCGCCTTGGCGAGCAGAAGTTCCCCTTCGTCATGAACAACTTTGCGCCCCCCGACATGGTCGGCCACACTGGCGTGTACGAGGCCGCCATCGTCGGTGTCGAGGCCACTGACAAGGCTATCGGCAAGATCTACGAGGCCTGCAAGAAGCAGAACTACATTCTCTTCATTACCGCCGACCACGGCAACGCCGAGGAGATGAAGTTCCCCGACGGCAAGCCCAAGACCTCCCACACCACCAACAAGGTTCCCTTCATCATGGCCAACGCCCCCGAGGGCTGGAGCTTGAAGAAGGACGGTGGCGTTCTGGGCGACGTCGCCCCCACGGTCCTGGCCGCCATGGGCCTGCCTCAGCCCGAGGAGATGACCGGAACCAACTTGTTGACCAAGGCATAAATAAGTCCCAATGGTTCTGGTCAAGACGAAGCTGTAGTTGCGGAGTTGTATGTATGTGTGTGCCTTTGGGGAGCGGGTTATTGGTAAAAGTTGAGAGCGTGTGGCGTGTGTGGTAAAGGGTTTATGATTATAATAGACAACCTATAGAAAATGAGAACACACTTTGATGACATACCCCTGGCGATAAACATTGCGATGATATAATGTAATTATGGCCAGAAGTCCTAGTCCACTCTAAAGCAAGCATCCCCGTCGTATTCCAGCAGGAATTCGTGTTCTATTGCTCCAGAATCCCGAATACAAGCCAAGTACGTCGCACCGCATCAAATCAGCCCTGAGGATTCCGGGGCAGAGGTATCACTCTTGAAAGTTGTCAGAAAGAAGAAGGGGAAGAAAGAACGCGAAGGAAAGTCACTAGGGGGGGGAGGGGCTTTGTGCAGCCACGCCTCCAACTCAGGAACAAACAAGCTAATTCGAACGGCTATCAAAGCAACGTGTGGCAGATAAGGGGGGGGGAGTGTACAACACAGTCCAAGTCTAATTAATAGAAGCCTTTTTCGTCCTGTAAGTGAGTCAAGCCAGCGAACGCGGTTAAATATCGACGCTATGCAGCCTCACGACTTCGGCAAGCGTCGAAGGCGTTTGGCTTTGAGCAAGCCGAGATCGATCCAACCGGCATCCGACGCAGACCCTTCAGCTAGGACGGCTTGGCCGGGTAGCCTAAGCAATATGCTGGTCGAGGACTGATATGTTTTGGTCTATTCCATCTCTCGAGGAACATCGTAGTGCTTGCTCATTGGCACAACGTGAGATTCCACGTGCAGGTCCGGCCAATAAGAAACATCTTCTGTTCGTGTATCCGATCCGCCACAAGTCTCTGCAACGTTGCTCGTCGTCAGAGAGAGGGGCGGACGAGAAAGTAGTGGCGGTGGTCGGTGGAACGAACCCGGGTTCCACACCAAAGGGTTGTTTGAGACGGACACGGGTGCCTTGGCAAACTATTCCGGACCGATTTGAGTATGCTCAAGTGCTTGTTCAAGTCGACCAATCTCCCCGTAGATGTCTCGCTATCAACATGAGCTCGAATAGTCGGTATGAGAGAAAGGGCCTTAGCCCACCCCCCCCCCCCCCCCCCCCGCCCAACTCTTCCCAACCAAGGAACCGTCCGTATCAAAAAAAAATGATATCAGACTTCTCCGTTGATACCGCATGGAGGTGCTGGTTACAATTTGTCGATAAACACAAAATTGCCGCTCATACCAAGTTGACAATAAATATGGAGAACTTGAGAGCGCCATGCATGTATAACCTTACTACTGGGCGGTATGTGTATAAAATGGTAATTGTCAGGACCTGTGATGGTTGCAGGTAGCCAGACAAGGAAGACACTGCGTACACATTCCAACAAATGTATAGGCGGAAACGGGTATCATTGTAAAACTATTGCAAGAACAAGAAGAAGAAGAAATATAAACCGCGTCGCTATCCACAAACCCGCCTCGTAGTACATAAACCTTTGACCCTTGGCCCTCGAAAACTTTTGTAATTTGTTTTCTTAATACTTTTTTTCCAGAACTCCCGCTGTAAGGTGGCTACCAGTTTCCGTCTGTGCTGATGTACTTGACCCAAACCAAAAAAAAAAACAATAATATACGGTTCTCGACCGTGGGATATCTCTTATGCAAATTCATCCCTGATGATGAACAAAAGCCAAGCGCCTTACAATGCACATCCATGCCATATCAACCAAGACTGCTTCCAAATCCGGCCGTCGTCCATGGCTTCCTGTTCTCGCGGCTCCATGTCAAATTCAACCGCTCTCCTCTAGACTACTACTGTAGCCACTCTCAACTCCACCGGCAGTAGCAACCGAGCTGCCCGTGCCTACCGGAAGCTCGGCACTACAACTCTTGCTACGGCTTCTGGCTGTTCCAGCGGCGGCGACAGCACTGCTACTGCTGGCGCGGTGAGCAGCACGAGGTAGGTTAGGAATAGCGAACCCATCGCTGCTGTCATCATCCACTTTAACCACCGGCTCATCTCCATCATCCGGCTCGACATCTTCCTCGTCTCCACTCGACATATCCACATCATCGGGATACTGGTTCTCAATCGTGGGAGGGTGACCCTGGATATCGAAGCTCCCAATCAACGCCATCGGTTCGTCCTCTGGCTCCGAAACGTCTTCGGCCGAGGTATCAGAAGAATCACTATCGAAAGAGAAGTACATACCCGGGGGAGGTAGAGGCGTAGGGTTCAGCTTTTCGACGGATCGGGACATGTATTCGATGGTAACAGGGAGATGGCTCTTTGACTTGGGTTTGAACAACCCATCCTGGGACGTGGATCCCAAGGGAGAAGTGATTCTGTCGACGAGCTTGGCAACGTCGTCGCGTTCGAACCCGGACGGGCTGGAAGGAGTCGCGTTTATTTTGGGTCTTCTTGTGGTGGCGATGACCCGGAAGTGATCGTCTGGGATAACTCCGCCAAGGCCACATGCGTCCAAGCTATTGGCGGCAAGGTCTTGAGGCCGGTCGGACCATGGGAATTCGGCTTCAATATCCATGTCGCTGTCATCAGATCCCATTTCTGTCGCAACTGCCACGCTGGGTGCAGTTTTGCCATCTGTCAGGGGACGGTAGGCAAGCGCTGATCCCGACTGCGTGCGCTGCGGCCCAGGCCTCGAGTTTTGTGAGATGGGCAGCTCCTGTTCCTGCGCAGTAGAGGTCAAGTAGGACGAAGGGGACAAATCCCCAGGGTCGCCGGACAAGTCCATGCAGAAGGGGGCGCCACTGTAATAGATAATTGCGCCATCTAAGCGACGTCTCTTTCGACGGGCCGATCCTGAGCCACTGTTTTCCCATCGCGACGCCGCATTGTTGCTGTCTTCGCCGGCACCCGAAGAGTTCGAGTCGTCCAGAGACGTTTGCTCGGCCGACGATGACTGGTGGGCAAATAGCGGCTTGTAGTGGAAGCTGTCGGCGGACGACATTTGCGGGTCAAATTTCGACTGATCCGATGAATTCGGGCCCGCGGAGGAAGAGTACAATCCACTCTTGGGTGGTTGGCGGCGTTTGCGTTTCTTCGTATGTTCGTCGTCATTGGCTGCGTCTGACTCCTCTGAACGGCTGGTATGAGAGGTTTCCCCAGAGCTGTCACTACTGAACTTTGTCCCATCGGTGCCTCCACGCCATCGAATTTTTCGACCATCAGATGAAAGCTGGAACTTGGTACTCTTTTCAGAGACAGCGCTGCGAATGTAGTCAGGTGCGACGTTGAGCATGTGCAACTGGGCCATGTTACAAAGGAGGTTGAGGTAAACCCAGCCGTCAGCGTCCGGGGATACATCCTCGTGCGTCGCGAGTCCGGTCAGATGGGGTGGAGCCAGGCCAAGATGACGGATGTAGTCCATGTTCGCGGATGGGTTCTGCTTCCGATCCGGATCGAGGTCCAGCGGCCGAGTGGGTCGCTGCTCCGGCAATGGTGGGTCTGGCGGTGACGTGCCAGCGACTGCGGAATTGCCGCCCGAGTCGAGCTGATCGCCATTCGAGTTAGAGGTAGACCCGTTATCTTTCGCTGGATTCTTTCCCTCTTCCGACACAAAGATGCGTGCCTCTCGAGAAGGCTCACAAAAGCCCACAGGGACGTTGGATGGTCCGTGAGTCGTTGTTGTGTTCCCAGTCGCTGGCTCCACCATGATGGGAGCATAAGAAGCGATGTTCCCAGAAGATTTTGGCTGGTGCCGGCTCACACTCCGGCCACTAATCTTGCCTGTGAAAATTTGCTCCAGCCGTCGAACAATTAGTTTCTTCTTGTCCTTGTCGGTCATGACCATGTGGCGTGGATACAACCCTTCGGGTATGTCTTTGAGATAGTTTTCCACCTTTTGTTCCGACGACTTGGCTCTTGAACTGACGGATGGCCGTGCCAACGAAGTCCCAGACGAGTTGGCACCGGTGGACATCGATGCGTATGCAGAATCGACGGGTCGCGAGTGAGACCCTGACGTCGATGATGCATGCTTTGAAGCTGATCCTGATCCAGACTCTAGCCGGGCCTTGTGACTGCCTTTGTTCCGGCCCGAAGACGCCTCGGCACTGGGAGTGCTGCCTTCCAGGCCGGACGCAAAGTCGCGAAGGGTACTTTCCAACTCCCTCTTCTTGCGTTTCGGAAGCCCGTGAACCTTTATCTCAAAGAGTCTGTCTTGCTTCATCAATTCAGGCCCTCTCTGCTTATATCGCTTCAACTCATCCTTGAGCCTCTTGATTTCAACAGTCAAATCGTCAATGACACTCCGGTAATCATCGGCGCTGCTGCTATGCGTAGCACTCGGCTTAAGAGTACCTCCCATGGGGGGTCTCAGAAGCGTGGGGTAGCCGGTGGCTTGCAGGTTGTCTTCATGAGAAGAATCACTCTCTTTTTGATAAAATGGGGGGTCGACTAGAAACAGAATCAGCGACCGCCGTGAGAAAAACGCCGTTACTCGCTGGCTTACCATCGATCGTATTTGAGTACAAGACAGTAGGGTTCTCATTGCTTTGCTCGAACCATCTCTTGGGATCACTGGGTCCGGTGTTATGGCTCTCCCCAGATGAGTGCCGGTGTGGTGATGATCCTGAGCTGGTTTCTGCTGCAGCAGCAGCAGCACGCTTGGATAATGCTTTAGCGCTCGCTTCGTGGGCCAGACGGTGGTTGCGAAGGGTTATAGAGGTTTCGGGAGACGACCGGCGCGGTAACGGATGGCCTTTCGGCGACGTCGGCGGCTGCGTACCATTGGATGGGTGCTGGGCGTCGGACATGATGGCGGCATGAAGATGCTGTCTGGCTACACCAAGATGATCGGAATCGGGGCCGTACTCGCTACGTGGAGGGCGACGAGAACGGGATGGGGTTGATGGACTGTCGAGTTGCGTAGTAGTCGCCGTCGTGTTGGTATTTCTCACGCTATACCAAAAGGTCGGTTTGATGACGTGTGTTTAGGTCGAATGAATTGCTAGTAAGGTGGAAGCTAGTTAGCAACTGGCCTTAATAGGGATGCAAATGAGCTTTTGGATGTCGAGGCGGGAGGCTGTATATGTCGAGGTAGGCATGAACTGTGATTGGCTAGAGCACCGATCGATCGATCGAATATTGGGAGGCGCATATGACGAAAGGCTCGTTAAGAAACGGGTACTGTGAAGTGGTAGCACCTACAATGATAGGAGAAAGATGCGCTCGGGCAGTTCTAAGCAGGGGATTCTAGCTCTTGGTGAACTCGTCGTTTGTGCGATATAACAAGGCTTTGCAGGTGCAACTGCAAGATTCGGTCAGATGGATAGCAGCCGGGTGAGCCGCCAGGTTGATAGGAGGAGCCAGGCAAAGCAAGTCAAATGATGCAGCCGCAACAGGGTCTCCTGGCCAGTTCAGTCCTCAGCGACAGGAGAATCGAGGTCGGTTAATTCGCCGCAAAGTAGAATGGTGGCTATTGTGAAGACGTCGGGTAGGCTCTGTATGCAGTGGGGCTCACAGCCAAGAAATCGTCTCCGCAGCCCAAATGTGAGCGGAGATCAGCAAAAATTGACGGTGGTACAGCCGGGTCAGTTAATGGCAAACAGCGACAAAGCCGGCGACTGATATCCAAATGAGTTGCGTGACAACAAGTCCGACCTTGGAGTATGCTTCAAGCGAAGAGGCGAAGCGGGAGACGTCGCTATTTTGCGACGGTCAGCTCAGTTTGGGGGGGTGTTGCGGCGGGCGGGTCGTGGTGTTTTGCGTGTAGAGTATGAAGTTGTAGTCGGTTTGGACGGGTAGTAGTTGATGTGTCGGTCGGGAAGCGCAGAAGAGCGGCAAGGGGGGTGGATAGAAGAAGGCCAATGCAACTGTTGTCGTTTTTTCCTTGCTGTCGTAAAACCGTAAAATACTGACTAGCAAAAGGCGAAAAGGTGAAGATTGTGGTGGGAAGGAGGAATAGTAGATGTGGCCGACGGTATGAGATGAGATGGGAACGGGTCTCCACGGCCCCCCTCCCTCCGGCTTCGAACAAAATCGAACACGACAGGGCCAAATCTGTGATGGGGCAAGAAGCAACAGCTCAGCGGAAAGCCGTAAAAGCTTTGAATCCGTCAGGAAGGCATAACACCCTTGGCCCAGGGGGGAGTGCCTATCAGGGGGGGTGGGAAGGAGGGAGGGAGGCAAGCGCACCGCCATAGTCACACGGCTGATGTTCAGGGCCTCACTTTTGCAGTATACGATGCACAGTACAGACAGTCTGGAGCCTCGATCCAACCCAAGGGTTGCGAAACGTTTCGTGAGGTCTAGCCAGTTCCCCACGCGCAGGTGGGGACCCACATCAGCTTGAAAGCTGCTTGGTCTGATCTTCAGGTCCTGGCAGGGTTCTGGGGATCGAAGTTGATCGAAGAGGGCTAGCCAGTGGACCGCCTCGTCGAATGGGCGTGCTTTTAAGCCCGGCTGCTGCCAATGTCTCTACCGATGCACCCAAGGTAAGCTAGACAATGTATATCAGTGCCTCGGTACCTTGGCATCCGTACGGATACCTACTAATGCGTTAGTACTTACTGTAGGTGGACAAAGGTGGGGAATGGGGCGTGTGTTTAAGAAACTCCGGGTGTGGCTGGTCGCCGACCTCTACGTACAGGAACGAGCAGGGACGGGATCGATCGAGGAATGGACGCGCCTAGGTCTTGGAGCCTTCCATTGCTCTCAATCGCCGACAAGCAGACGGGTCTGACCAACTGCCTCCTCTCCTGCTGCCAGCCAATAACTAGCCTTCCATTCTGCGGTCCGGTTTTTTTCTTCATCAAAAACAGTACCACCACCCTCGGCAATGCAACCACTGCTCACGCCACAACACCTTAAACTACCTCTATACATGTCTAGTACCTACCTACTGTACCTCCCTACCTACCTAGGTATGTAGTCGACAAGCAAATCACGTGCCTGTCCGCCTCGATGAAGGTGGCAATCCCCAGATTCGTGGAGAGGAGCCGTCCGAGGGGGGGGAGGGGAAGCCGCAAAGACTCGAAAATCAAAAACCCGCCCTAAGCGTCTGTGCCTACGTTACCAGCCTCACCGCACAAGCGTCTCCTGCTGGACGCTCATGAACCGCTGAGATATCGGGATGGGTTGCGACAAGATCAAAAGGCCTCGAACAAGCGGCGAGCTCAGGTCTCTCTCGCCGAGACGAGATTACTGAGACAGTGTAGCATACATGTCAGCGGCGTCCGATGCCGATGCCGATGCCCTAGCAATAGCCACCCCAAACCTTTCCGCGTATACCGGGTTCGGACTTGCTACTCCGATAGTACTACCTAAGAGTATCACTATGTACCTACGAATATCTGTGCGACCTCAAGAGGGACCGCCTTGGATACGTACCTCAAGGTAGAACTCGCTGGCAACAGCTCACGTCTCACCCCAACCACTCCCCTCCCCAAAGCTGCCGCGTCAGCATCGTCTTCCCTGTTATTTGGCAAAAACCCTGTCGCCCATAGAGGCTGTGTGGTGCTGCGTCCAGTTCAGTCGCTATCGGTGTAGAGCCACTTGATCTTCAGGTTCAAACGAACTGACTGTGATGCTTAGAGTTCTCAAAGCAGCGCGTTCAGCGTCTACCTGTCCAATTGTCGACTGCGCCTGCAGAGTGAAGGGGAATGGGAGATGGAGGGAACGAATTCACTCTGTGAGAATCCGCACACGGCGTGGTCGTCCGATGAATGTTGCATTCCCTCAAAATCATTCGTCGACAGAGAGCCCTCGGGGCCGGGGACCCTCTGGTGCAGCCAATCATTGAGTACCAAACGGTCCGCGACACATCTAGACCGAACCCGCATTCCGTAAGCGGCGATCTTGAATTTGCTGTGTCATCGAAGCTCCCGTCGCCTCGTCCGTCAACGGTTCATGCCAAACCTACCAAGTTGGCTGGCCGTTTCACTGTTAATGACCACAAATCAATATCGACCAACATCCATCGCCGATTCGACAAGGAGGACAATATAATACACATGATTTTTTTATGGGGGTTTTTTTTCTTTCTTTTCTTTTATTGGGTGGGGTTTTTTTTTTTTTTTTGCTCATTTTTATGTTAAAAAAAACAACACCGCCTCCCCCCCCCCCAAAAAAAAAGAAAGAAAAAACCCCTACACACCCCCCTGTAGAAAAAGCTGCAGTCCCAAGTCGCGTGTCGGCATCCTGCTCACGACTAAGTCACCTGTATCGGGCTCATCGCCGCAACTTCCAACTTTCTCCTTGCCGACCGGATAATCATCTATGCCAAGTTCATGATTCTCTACTGGCTTTTCTCAGGAACACGCCCCCACCCCCCTCCATCGGACCCCTAAAAACCCTTAAGCCTCCATTTTCTGTCAAGCTAGGTTCTGAGGTTTGATCCCTATCCAATCCAAGAGTTCGGACCTTGTTCCGTCTCCATATGCCACATATCATTCGTCAGTGCCGACCCCTCACGTCCATGATTGCAAAGCCGATCGGCAGGCCGACCCTGCAGTGGCTACGTCACTGCCTGATTCAACTCCGTCCGGGTGGCAGGAAGAACATCCTGCTGACCTTATGTCATAGCCTTCCATCCATTCGTTGCCGCCCCGCTGTTGGCTTGCCTACCTGACCAATGCCGAGCATGCGAAGATCATCATCGGTTCCCGTTTCCGTCCACGCATGACAACCTCGTTCATGCACCGCTGCAGTCCCGCCCTCTATCATGGTCTAGCGAAGAGTAAGAAGAGTAAGTAGGTAAGTAGGTATTTTCGTACACTTCTACGACGTCCCCTTCTGACGGAAAACGCGGCAGGTCTGCCTCGGCATTACGCATCCCTGACTGTCTACGAATCCTCCATGGTCCTTGCAACAAGTTCCAGGTTACAAGCTGTCTGGCGGTCTGTCTGGAAGTCCTTGGGAATGAATACCGTATCCTCTCAGCAGATTCGTACAGCGCACTGACCACGGGCTACTGGAAAGGGGTAAGCGGGCTGGCAGAAACAGGGATCTAGATGTGGCAAATGCAGGGGCTAGTCAACGTCAGCAGCAAGTTTGGTGGCAAGGGTTAGGGTTAGGTGGGTGGGTGGGTGGCTAGGTTGGCTGACCGCCTTTCGAAATAGGCCTAGTTTGTGGTCAGTGCGCTGTACGAATCTGCTGAGAGGATACGGTAGGCTGTAGTCGGCTTTAATGGGGCCGGCCAGGCAGTTCGGGCGGTGCCGAACAAAAGAAACTAGACGGCCCGCCGCGTGGAGAAATTTTCGCCCACGGCCGAGCGACGGAGTCCGACCATGTGTTCGGCAAGCAGAGATGTTTCTGGCCAATCAGCCGCTCCCCTCGGGTCCCTCCGAAACAAACTTCGCCTCCCGATCTCTGCGAGCCGCATCGTTCGTGTGAATCGGAGGCACACAGAGTACCCTTAGCGCAGGGTCTCGGCGCGTCCTCGTCTCATTCCCCTGATCGGCTATCTCAGCAGCCACTTGCCACTTGCCATCGAGGGCGCCCAGGGGAGCGGGACTAATCGCCTTTTGACAAATTCACGATCTAGACACTCCTGCGCAATGTTGCTGATTCCCATTGTCGTGGCGATGTTTTCGCATCTTAGCATAATAGAGATCTGCCATATCCATTCTGACACCTGTCACCACGCCAATTCCGCCATCGATGTGGATCTGCTTGCCCAGGAACTCGGACATCACGCAGCTCGAAATGGAGGGGAGTGCATCTTGGCCGACACGCCCCGTGTTCCCTCGCGTGTTCAGCCCTAGCGTGGAAGGGAAACCCGTCTTGCGCGATGTAGGCGATGCGATTTAGGAGCCGCGCATCCTTCTCCAGGATCCATTTGCCCCCCTAATGTCCTTACGGCCTGGTTACATACAAGAGCACGTGAGATGTTTGCGAATTAGTACGGAGCAAGCTCGGGCTGGTTCTTATGTGACTACATACGCCTCAAGCATCTGTCAACGTTTGACGGCCAAGCCACCATGACAAATAGACTTTGAAGATTAAACTTGAAGACACGCAATGGGACTGCCTCAGTCAACGAGCGTCATTGGTAGGGCCGAGCCTGGTGGGGATACACGGGAAGCGTGCCGTTTCGGTGAAGACGGTTGGCCCACTGCCACAGAGCAGGGCCGAACACTGATGAGCCTATCTCGAGTGCTATCCGCCCTCGACAGTAACTTTGACATGACCTCGGTAGTAAGCAAGAGAGCTATCTCACAAGCGTGCGTCCTCGAAGTCTACCATCTATAGTTGGTCTCCCCTTACGGCGGCGACGCAAAGAAACCTGCTTGCTCGCTTGTTTGTTTACTTTTTTTTTTCTGGTGGCCTATTACGCTTAGCCACCCTTTGCGAATCTATCGCCAAACAACAACGGCTTGTCTCATTGGATGGAGTAGAACCTTATCGGAGAAAGTCGTCGAAACAGGAGTATAAGTTTGTCCGGAACCGCCGGCTGGCACGAAGTCACCACCTTGCGCGGCGGTGTGAAAGATGCAACCCCCCTTGTTCCAATTCGTAACCTACACAGCAGTGTTGGTGAGAGGTTGAGTGCCATGATCGTAAACTGTACATACACCTTCCTCGGCAACGGCAGAGGGCGGGCACATTATCAGGTTTCACCTGAGCAACACGGGGGGCATCTTCAGTTCCTTGTTCCCGATTGACAACGATATGAGTGGGATCCCTCTCTGGCCCGCACGCGACAAGGGGTGGGTTCGAAGTTACACCGGACCCATTGGCGGAGTGGAAGAGCCTGACCATGCTATGGTCCTATAGGCTTGGCTAACATAGGGGGAAAAAATTAGTTGCCGTCTGAAAACTTCCATGGCGTTCTCTGGAAGAACCTATCATGCCTTAGCTGGTGCTGAAAGTCTCGTGTTAGTGGGTGCTTTAAATGTTTGGTCCCCGTTCAGCACGCTGCTAGATATATTCAGGCGCGTGTTATGGCTATATGGCTCACCGCGGACTGTTTTCGAGACCACTCTATTCATGGGTCGAGTGGCATTTGATATTAGCTCTGTGGGTCACGATCGCGTGTGAAAGTGTCAGGGGCCGCTGCAACATCGTTGCCGACTGCTCCCAACTGCTTTGATTGTTCTCCATTTCCCAGTGTTCATCTGGGTCCTCGTCGGCCCCTGTTCCCCGGTCATTTAGCCGCCATGCACAGCAGACGGGACGTCGAAACAACGACACCTAAGTGCTAAAACCGCCTGATTAGAGCTCATGTCTTTTCTCTTTCAGCGATATTCACGCAGTTCTGGCACAGGCCAGGCAGGCGGAGGAGGACTGACGCTGGAGCCAGCACTCCCTCTTGCATAAACTCACATCCCCCCTCCCCCCCAAAGGTCGTGTCTTTCAATGAAGCCAATGCAGTAGCCGTGTATGCTGGATGCTGGGCTCACGGCGTCCAATACATCGAGAAACCAGGTCACTCTCTATTGTTGTAGTCGCTACGAAACCGTAGCCCGTATATTGATGGCATTTTTATCACTTGAAGCGTGTCAAGAGAGAGTGGGAACTGGTGTTCTCTCGTTGAGATTATCTGGTGCCCCATTCCCTAGCTTAGCGCCTGTTGCCACTTCGTACGCACCATTCAGGACAAGAAGACCTTTTCTCAAAATGATAGAAACAGGTCAATTTCCGACACTAGACACTATGAGAGACTATGGCGAGACTTTTGTTGCTCACATACTCTCAGGTGTCGAGCACTGCCTGTCAAGGATACTTGATATTGCCTCAACTTCCCAGCTGGATGCAAAACCACCATACCTAGCCACTGTCGGAGTTGCTGGCTTGACAATATCTCGACATCCGGGTCCGATAATTTGATCGTTCTATCGCGGCGAGCTACCGCGTCGTCACACCGCCCCGAATAATCCAAATCCTGACGTATGAGCCGAAGCATTGCTCCATCCCGCTCTCCAACGGCGAGTTCGACCGCATCAACCCTGCAGAGCTGTGAAGGAACCTCTATGGAAAAGTTTGATCCCCACCTCAGAAACGAGACCAATTAGGTTGACATGGTCTATAAGACAGCGATGGCGAGCTCGCAGCGCAGTCAGATATTCGGGGTAGCCCCATGCTGTGATGCTTCACCCGGCATGGGTTTCTCTTTTTAGTAGGAGTGATGGAATCCATGGGGGTTGGGGCCCGAGTCGCCGCGGAAGCAATCGTGGAACGGTGTTGCTATGTCGCCATACAAAAAAAAAAAAAAAAAAAAAAAACCCCCAAGAAAAAAAACCCCCCCGGTGATGTAGGCATAGGACCCATCGATGACCAACTGACCGAGTCAATGACGTTGGCTTCATTGTCTACAGAAATGGTGCAAGAAGGTGTATAAGAGTGGCATTGCCGCCATGGACGATGGAAGTCATACCGTACGATCAGAACATACCCTAGCGTATGCATGCTCCAAAGAAACTCAAAGTGCATGTTATATCTTGCTGTCTAAGAGTCATTATTCAGTCGTCATTTTTCGATCTCATAATACCCGGCCACTCATCTAGCAGCAAAGCATACGTTTACAACATGGTAGGTTCTGCACATCGATCGCAGATCATCGCCGGCCTCCAACCTGCTAGTACCGCTTGATTCCCTTCTTTTCCTCTTGAGCTGCCTCTTGTGCCTGCGCGTTAATCTGGATAGCCTCCTTCAACTTCACAATAACCTCGGGCTGGTTGCTGAAGGCCCGCTGCAGCACCTCATCTAGCTCCTTCTCGACCTTGCCGATTGGCTTCACACCCGGCTTCCGGGCGCTGGCATCGTTTATCAGCTTTCCCCAGCGCTGGGTGAAGGCCACGATGGACTGCCTCAGCAGCTCGTCCAGCTGCTCGCTCATGTCCTCGACCGTCAGTGTCTTGGCCGTGACGGATGGCTGCTGCGGCGTGCCGCGCGACCAGAGGGAACCGCCAATGATGTTGCTGACGAAACCCACCCAGCTCTGGGGGCTCAGGTTGTCCCAGATGTGACCGAAGTGTTGCATGGCTGCGGCGTCGCCGCGGATGTCGCCGATTTCGAGGGACACAAGCTCGTTCTTGATGATGAGCAGATTCTTGACCATGAACAAATCAGAATCCGTGCCGGCTCTGATGGACTTCATGCGGGCCTCTGCACGCTGCAGGACCTGAATGGTTTCCCGCATGATCTTGAAGATGACCTGGCTGTTCTTTTGCTACTAAATGTCAGATTTGGAAGGCAAGTTCAAGGCTCATACAACATACGCTTCGTTCCTTGGGCATGGCTTGGTCGTATTTGGAGAGAAGATCGAGTGCCTGCTTGACAGGGGGGAAGGCGTTCGAGGAAGAGACGCCATTAACAACAGGCTCAATTGTGAGGGCTTCATCTTTGACAACGGCCTTCGAGACCGTCTTCGTGATCTCTGCCTCGAACGCACTATCTGTGAAGACCCAAAGATGCTCGGCAAGCAGCCTGGCGCTGAGCTCCCGGCACTGGCGAGCGAACGGCGATTCCTCATCGTCGTAGTCCAGGACCAGGTACTCGTTGGTCAGCCATCCCACAACACTGCAGATGGTGTCCAAGTCTGCTGTTTGTAACGCAGACTGCAGGTTGGCAGCTATCTGCACAAGGTTTGCCGGATTGACGAGAGACCTCTGGTTAGACTTGAGGACCCCGTAGGCTGAGTTTGGATCAGAGCTCCACTGCAGATCCAGACCAAATACCTTGACAAACAGGTTGGCCTCGTTGAAAGCGCGTTCAAAGCTCTGCTTGATGTAGTTCCTCGAGGCCGTCTCAACAGATAGGTCCTTGATCTCCTTTTTGAACTCGTCTTGATCATGCTGCACAATAGGCTTCAGGTCACGGTCCCGAACGCCAAAATAAGAGCTGAAGAGGTTGCTTGTGGTGTTGGAGTAGATGTCCTTGGCAATGCCGGTGATTGGAAGGCCGTATTGATCATACACGCTGCGGGCTACCTGGTGGATATTGGGGATGAGGGAGTACGAATCGAGGATCATCTCTTCAAAACGACCGTACGCTACCGCATGACGAGTGGCCTCTGACTTTGTTCCCACAATCTGGCCAGAGATCTCGGATGATATGGTATCCAAGCGATTGGTGAAGCCAACCTCGAGAAGATGAAGTGCCTTTGTGAGCAGGGCTTCGTAACGAGCAAGGTACGACTCGGCATCGCGGTAATCGGTCTGGCATCGCATCATTCGTCAGCATCAGTCCCCAAGCGTGCAGCAGAAGCACCTACGTGTTGCGACATGAAGCCTATGCAGGAGTCCAGGTTTCTCAGAATCTCGGTGAAGGAGTCATCGTCAACGAGCCGCCCGGCACCAGGAGCATTGAGCCGCCTGGATACATTATCGAGGTATGCGTAGAAATGGAGATCGGTGCCGACTTCGTCCGCCAGCTTTTCGAGTCGGTGCTGCTCAGATAAGAGATCCTCACACCGAGACTGGAAGGAGCTCGTCTGCGCCTCCACGGACTGGAACGACTCGGATAGCGTGGTCAAGAGCTTCAGCGCTTCGTCTGTGTCGTCAATGAGCGTATTGAGATGTCGTTCAGTGAGCGTAAGTTGGTCTTTATAGAGCCTAACCTGAGGGTTAGCGCCTCCCCTCCACAGCAAGCAGGGCGAACTGACAGATACTCCTGCTGACTGGCCTCGAGCAGCTCCTCCCCATGCAGGCCGAGGACGTGGTGAGGGCCCGTCTCCTGGGAGTCGGGAATGTCGGCCGCAATGTCCAGCGCGTCCCATGTCTTGTCCCTCCTCCGCCTGCGCCTCTTCTTCTGCTCGTCCTTTGCCAGTTGAGCTCTGACGACGTGGTAGAAGTCAGAGTATGAGCTCGCACGGCGGAGCACAGTCGCCTCGGGAGGGGTGTTGCGATCCTCGACCCCTTCAAAGATCTCATTAAGAGCTCGTGGTGCATTGGAGGCTTGTAGAATGCCCTGTCATGATAGCCTTCGTCAGCAGGCTACTCGCGAGGGAGACGGCGGGCGGGATTTGGAGCTCACGTTGGACTGCTGCAACAGCGACTCTTTGCGACGGTGAGTGGTTCCCTGGGCGGCCGATGCGGCTTTTTTAGCCACATCTGGCACGAAGCTGTACCAGGAGTCGTCGTACATCGCGGCTGGCCTCGGCGGCGTGGGTGAGGAGAGCTCTGGCGCAAAAGAGGTCCTGTCGAGTCTGGCGCTGGTCGATGTTCCCACCAAAACCGCCCGCCGGTCCGTGTAGTAGTAGGCTATAGGACAGCTCAGCCAGCCAGCTCTTACCTCGCGTACGGTACCTAACTGGGCGGGAAATCATTGGCCCCAACTGCGGCCGGCTGGAGCTGCGAAAGTGGGGTCCGCCATGCTCATCCGCCGCGGGGCGCACGGTCCCTGCAACGTCAGGGGTCCCTCTCACAGTCTAGGTAGTATACGGAGTACGGAGTAGTCTAGACAGACTTAGTGCTGGACGAATCGAAGTTTTAGTTTTCGTGCATGACCTCACGACCTTGGTTGTACCTCACCACCACCACCACCTTACCTATACTCATGTGGTTCAACTTACCAACTGTGGTTTAAGGCTCTCATACCGAAGTTTCTCATCCTCACCAGTTACCTTTCCAATCGCTTCTTCACTCGGGTCATAAGAACAAAAATAATAAAGCATGAAGGCTTGCAGGACAGCTACGCGCCACGCCGGCGCGTCTCTCACAGCTCAGAGATGCGCCGCTGTGGCTCGTCGTCATGCCAGCTCCGGTCCCCGCCGAACTGGTGAGAAGTCGGGCTTCGGAAAGGCCACCGCCTTGCTCCTGACGGCGGGAACTGCGGGTGGTTTGTACTACGCCGACGATTACTTCAACGGGCCCTTCAAGCAGTTCTTTAGCCCCAGTGAGGAGAAGGAAGCCGAGCACCGCAAGACAAAGTACCAAAAGGCCGAGATCGAGTTCGAGAAGGCAAGAAAGGAGGCGCTGTCAAAGGAGGAGAACCGCGATCTCATTAGCTCTCAGCATCTTCAGGTCAAGCAGAGCTGGGAGAACCCCGGCGTCTACGCTTGGGGCTCCAACGTGGGCAAGGTGGTCGACCCGCAATCCAAGGAGACCGTCATCAAACAGCCGAGGAGGATCAAGTATTTTGACGGGAAGCTCTTAAGGGACATCAAGCTGTGCCAGGATTTCGGCGCCGCCGTCACTGAGAAGGGCGATCTCGTGCAATGGGGCCTGGGCTTCTCGAACACCGACCCCTCGCCGGTTGAGACGCTCAAGGGCAAGGACATTTCCAAGATTGCCATCTCCAACGATCGAATCATCGCCCTTTCATCCAGCGGATCGGTATACTCGGTCCCAGCGTCGCGCAGCGGTCTGACTCCCGGATCAAAGTCGCTGCAACAGCCGCAGCAATCGTCGTCGTCCTGGATCCCCTTTTGGAGCTCGGGTGGCTCAGAGTCCGTCAAGGTCAGAGACCTGACGCCTAAGAACCTGGGCTGGGGCGAGAAGATCACCGACATCAGCAGCGGCCTGCAGCACAGCCTGCTGCTGTCCTCAAAGGGACGCGTCTTCTCAGCCGCCGCCAGCACAGCGGAGTTCCCTTCCAAGGGCCAGATGGGCGTGCCAGGCCTGAGCTGGACCTCGCGCCCGGCGGGGCCTTACGACCAGCCGCATGAGATCACCGGCCTCTCGGGCTTCAACGTCGCCAAGATCGCCGCCGGCGACTTCCACTCCGTTGCCCTGACCAAGGATGGCAAGCTCTTCACTTTTGGCGACAACACATACGGCCAACTTGGGCTGCCGGCGGAGTCGACCTACCAGAACGTCGACGCGCCGTCTCTCCTGCCCACAGGCAAGCTCTACGCAAACACTGGACTCATCCCGAAGATCACATCCATCGCCGCCGGAGGAAACAATACCTTCTTCACCGTGGACGCAACGGAAAAGGGCAACGAGATCGCCAGCAAGGACTTCGCGCCGGCCCGCCGCATGCCAAGGGTCACGGCAGACTTCTGGGCGTGCGGCCAGGGCGTCTACGGCACCCTCGGCACGGGCAAGTGGACGCACATCACGCCCGGGCCTGTCAAGGTCAAGGCGCTCTCGTCGCTCTTCGAGTTCGACGAGAAGAAGAACATGATGGCGCCGATCCGGTTGTCCAACATCAGCGTGGGGAGCACGCACGCGTCAGCGACGATGGACAACGTCACGCGGACTGGCGCCACGACGCGCAGCTCCGCCAACGACACCAACTGGGGCTCCGACGTGCTTTTCTGGGGCGGCAACGAGCACTACCAGCTCGGCACGGGCAAGCGCTCCAACCTGAACACGCCGAGCTACATCGGCGTGCTGGACGGGGGAGTGGGCGACGCGCTCATGGGCCGCACGGGTGAGGTGCACCGGTTCCAGCTCACACCCCGACAGACCGTCCGACTCGGCAAGGACGGCAAGGGTAGGAAGGTCACTCTGGAGCAAAAGGTCGAGTGCGGGCGGTTCGTGACGGCTGCCTACTCGGCGGTGTAATCTGGACGCACTAGGCTGGCAACTATGTTTGTTTCACCATGGAACGGGAAGAGAATCAGTGAGCTCTACTAAGTCAGGAGCGAGGGAGGATGCTGTACTATTAGGTATCCCAGGAGGATATTGTAAGGATATGGTCTTGTAAACTTATAAAGAACGAGAGGGAGACAGAGAGAGGGGGGAGGGGTGTTCAGGGAAGGATGTAGGGCTTTCCGGGCACAGGCCGAGATGAGCGAGCCGCAGGGGAGGGGCTCTCGTCGATGGGCCGGGGGTGTTCTCACGCAGCGTCAGGTATGTCGTCGTCTTGTTATCGCACGGCGACGCTGTCGAATCTCGGCGGGCAAAGAACAATTCTACTCCTATTGCTCGGCATCTGTCCACGGGGTTGCGTGCCGCATCCTTTTGTGGCGTGGCCTAGGCCTGGCACAAGACGTGAATCATCTGAAGTGCGTCGTCGGCTTGGCAGCGGTTCGAGACGCGAAAGCGACCCTTTGTGTGCGCATGATCCTGGACAGGACCTGGACGGGACGGGACAACATCGCTCGGGTCGGGAAGTGCACACTGCAGTACGCGGTAGGGGAGCCAGCGCTGGCGGACTTGGTCGCCTATCATCTGCTCTTGCCCGGGGTGTCTCGGTGGCGTGGTCACGCGTGCCGAACGGATGGGACACGACGAATGACGACTGAAACGAGCACATAATTTGTAAATTAGTATGTGAATTAATATAAGCAAAGGGAGGCGGGAACGACTGACGGTACCTCTCTCCTAGCTTCCTACCTGAGTAGGTATGAAGAGGTAGTAGGTAGGTAGGTAGGTAGGTAGGTATGTACTGTCAGGTGGGGGACCTGCCCAGGGGTACTGTGAGATACAATGCAACCACGTGTGGGAGGAGGCGTTTGGCATTCTTGATGGGTGCCGTCGTAGTGGCATGCCAGTGTGGCAGTGTGGCAGTGTGGCAGTGGCAGTGGCAGTGGCAGTGGCAGTGGCAGTGGCAATGGCAGTAGAATTGAAAGTCTTCTTGGGCGTGGGTCTCTGGGTAAGCACTGTCTGTAGGTAGGTAGGTAAACAGGAACTACCCGAAAGAACGGAGTGGTGGCATGAGCATCTGGCGCAGGCATGCATGGCCGGCCCGTGGCGATTCCAGATGGCTTCCGCGGCGGTGCCGACGTTCAACCGTCGGGCCCCTTTTCCCCGTCTCGAAGGCCCGGGGTGTCCAGGATGCACCCATCTATATGGACTGCCCTATTCTGCAGCAAGCAAGCAAGCAAGCAAGCAAGCAAGCAGCAGCCTCAGTGCCCAGGTGGACTTCCAGCTCCTCGGGACGCGGCGACAGGCGGAGGCTAAATAAATAACCTAGCCTTCCCTTGCGCATCCAACTCAAAACCCACCATGCCACACACCCCCAGCCTAGGTAGGTAGGCAGGTACGTATACGAATACCTGCTTGGATTATTCGTATCTGTAAATACCTTGGTTGAAGTTACATGGGAACGTGGTGTGCCTTTCTGTAGGAAACCAGGGTAGGTTCCGTAGCTATCTGACGAATGCATCTACGCAGGTACACGTACCCGGACAAGAGAAGCATCCGTGCACTCTGCCCCGAGATTACGGTAGACAGGCGAACTCTCATATCCATCCACATCCTTCTCTCTCATCATCCATCCATCCACTCTCATCCAACACCCAGAATATCACCATCCCTGCCCTGGCCCCCCCTCCCCCTGTCCTCCGGAGACAGCCATAGATGGGTATACGATCGCGTTCCATCGAGTCCAGCTAGTCCAGCTAGTCTAACCAGAGCGACCTTGTCGCCCAATCATCCGGAGCCTCGACGTTGCCTCCAGTTTCCCTGTGTTCTCGGCGCGGAAGCAGAGCAAAGCAAGAAAACTTCCCAACATTTACGAATATACCGTCACCTCCTATTCCCTTCCTCTTGGTTCCTGCCCCCCCCCCCCCCCCCCCCTTTTTCTTCTTCCCACTCGATATCACCCGCCCGTACGGTACTGGACAGCCTCATCTTGACACTCACACTTCTTCCCCCACCTTTCTCCTCTTGACATTTCTTTTTCCCCCACCCTTTCTTGGCCCTCCGCCGACGCGCTCCATCGCGGTGCGATGGTGCCATGCCCACGAGAAGGGAGGGGAGGAGAAGAAGAAAAGAAAAAAAAAAATAGAGATTCTGGATCGTCGATACCCGCCCTTTTTTTAGTGTCATAATCAAAAATTTCTACCATTTTTGTAACCGTGGCAATTTCTTATCACGAGCCCCCTCCTTCCCGTCCACCTTGCCTTACTTAGTTTACGTACCTGGGTAGTCATCCGTTTGCTCTGCCCTCTTCTCTCTTCTTTTTCTAATTCCCCTCGAATTCGACATTCCGGCCTGGAACTTGGGTCCTTCACACTGCATACACACTTTGGCTTGACTCACCCTATCTACCTAACGGGCAGCAACCGTCAGCACGTGCCCTCCGAGTGACACAATCAAGTCTCGACTCGTGACGCGAACAAGCAGAGGCCCACACGGTACATGCCCCGAGGTCCATCCATGCGACCACTTGAGATCGTGTGGAACGGTACTGCTTCATATTTCCACGTTTCGTTCCGACCCTCGCTGTTCTCGTTTCTTTTCTATCTCACCAACAGACCACAAATATATTCGCAGCCAGCCACTCCAAGGCCTGCGCTCTCTCCTCCCTGCCGCAATCCATAGGTACTGCAGCCAGCCACATTTGCGCTCGCCCCTTCGCTCTTCCCTCCCTCCCTTCGAAATCCTCAACTTGGCCAACAGCTACATACCTACCAACGACCGGATCCCCCGTCGACACTCCGACATTCTTTGCCCCAATACCGCGCTTAACCTGAATTACTACTCGCTGGCTGCAGCTCGCCGTCTTGCCGGGCCACACTTGGTCCAAAGAAGTAAAGGGCCTTCTTGCAACTTGCCGCCTTGCCCTTCCTCTGCGCCCCAAGAATTTGACGACATTCCAGCCTGCATAACCAACCTTTCTTTCTACGCTGCCCGACACTCGGCACCTTATCGTCGCCAAACTCGCCGTCGCCAAGTCTTATCCTACCTTCCCTTACCTTTGTCGTATTTCGCTTCCTCGGCCACCCCCCCACTGCATTAAGTTCGGTCTGGTTACACTCCAACGTCACGTTTCGTGCGACAGCAGCCTTTGTTGCTGCGAATTCCCAAAGATGGACCACCTCCCCAAATTCCGCAGGAAACCAAAGATTCCAACAATCTCCACGACAGACGTCAAGGGCCCCCCCTCCCGAAACGTCGTCGACGAACAACCCCCCCAGCAGATCTTCCCCTCCACTACCACCACCGTCACCGTCACCGGTGGCAGGTCTCCGACCCCGACCAAGCCCGGATTGCGTAAGTCCGCCTTCCGCAGCCTCCACCTCCGCAGCCCAGCCAAGCGCGCGCGGTCACCTCCCGCTGCCTCCCTGCCGCAGTCTCCGCCGCCGCCCGCTATCGTTTCCCACGACGGCATCACCTCCTCCCCGGCATCGTCGAGACAGAAGGACAGCGGGGGAAGCGGGAGCGGAAGCGGGAGCGGAAGCGGCAGCAAGGACGACTCTGCGGCGTCCTCGTCGGGAAAGAACAGTCAGGAAAGCACCAGGCCCAAACCGAGGATCCCAGCTTTCCTTGACCTTTCGGTACCAGGTACGAAACCTCCGCCGCCTCGAAGACGTAGGGGCGCAAGGCGGGAACTAACTGCTGGTTTTCCTGCAGATCTAGAAAACAAGTTCCAGGAGCTTGTCTGGCTGGAGCGCGAACGCCTGGCGGCTGGCCTTGCCCCCGATGCCGACGAGTCCACGAAATGGGGCTCTTACAAACAGACGGACCTGCGCAGGGGCGTGCAGGATCGCTACTTCAACATCAAGCCCTGGAACCACAACCGCATCAAGCTGCGCGTGCCCGCCGAGGAGCTCGACTACGTTAACGCATCGACGGTATCTCTCTCCTCGCCCTCAAACAAGGACCTCCCTCCCTTGCGCTACATTGCGATGCAGGGCCCAACCGAGGCCTCGGTCGACTTTGTCTGGCGCATGGTTGCGGAGCAGCTCACGTCCCCAGTTGTCATCGTCCAGCTTACAAGCTTTTTCGAGAATCACCAGGTCAAGTGCTTCCCTTACCTGCCGCTGGACGAGACACAAGGGCCCTGGGCGCTAAACGAGATGGACGGCTGGAACGACGGCTGGAGCGCCACGCTGACCTTCGATTCGCTCACCGTTTTGGAGGACGGTGCGATCGAGGTCCGTAAGCTTCTGTTGCGCGCCGGCGACGAAGAGGAGGACCGCGTGATCTGGCACCTTCTTTACACCAAGTGGCCCGACTTCGGTGTCCCCGCCGTCGACGACCTCGCGAGCTTCCTGGCGCTCATGCGCCTGTCGCGCGAGTACAACACGACACCGGAGAACCCGCGCATCATCCACTGCAGTGCGGGCGTCGGGCGCACAGGGACCTTTATCACGCTGGAACACCTGATGCGCGAGCTAGACGAAGGTGCGCTCGAAGATTACGACGGTGACGCCGAGGGCGACGATCTCATCTTCGCGACCGTCGACACCCTGCGCGAGCAGCGCCGCAGCATGGTCCAGGCCGAGTCGCAGTACTTGTTCCTTTACCAAGTGTTACGCAAGCTGTGGCAGGAAAAGTACGACGTCGAGGACAGCGACGGCGACAGCGAGCCCGCGGCTAAGAGGCTCGAGGTCGAAGCCGAGGTCGAGGAGCCATTGACTGACTGACGAGACATCCTGAGCAACCCTTGACATTCGGGAGGCTTGCCAAGGGGCAGATAGACGCGCATACCCATGATTGCTCGAGAGACTGTGGCGGCATGGAATTTGTAACCTTAACATCATGTACCAAAGCAAGCAGCATCGACAGGCGTTGTTTTTATACTTTTTGTTTTAGTTTAGGGAGGGGGGCAGCATTGAGATGAGGCATCCAAGGGTGGACAGCATATACATGCCCACGACTTGGGCTTGTGGTTTATATGACCACGATGGGGTGGTTGGCACGCGTATACCAAGGACGGGTTTGAGGATATCCCGAGGGGGTTTCATGAGGAGCCCCCTCCCGCCGAGAGATGAAGATTAGTTGTTGTGGGAATAAAGTTTGGGCCACGCCTTCACGCAGAGCGGAACGGCAGGAGTCGACGCATGGCCCGGGAAGAGTGGCCTTTTTGACACAAACGTTCCTTCGTCCACTTAGGGTGAGGGTGAGGTGCGTGGTTGCGTAGAAGATAAGAGAGGGAGACTCATCGAAGGAGCGAGACAGCTGGCAAAGGCTTCTCTCCCCCATCCCCCATCTGGAGGACGACTGTTTCCCTATCATTCTGCCCTGTGACGTCGGAGTGCCGCGGTACCATCATATGGCCTCATCCACTGGATTGAACACGTAGTAGACTCGCGTAGAGCAGCCTCCCCCCCCCCCCTTTTAGGAGGAAGTCTACCTTTTCACATCGTCCCTACCGGGCCCAAAGAATATTGCGAAAGGAGATGAGAGCCAGCTCATCAGCGCGCGGAGGCAACTCTAGCGCATCAGGATCCCTGCCCCGAACCTGAATTCAAGATCCGTGGCCGGAAAATCGCAGTCCCGTCTGAGATGAAGGTCCTCGGCCACCAAAGACACACTTCACTTCGCGGAGAGAGAGAGAGAGAGAGAGAGACAATTGGCTCGTGACGCAGATGCGCCGTAACTCTCCTCGCCGACGATGA